ACGTGGACGTGGTCGTGGACGTGGACATGGACGTGGACGTGGACCTGGACGTGGACGTGGACGTGGACGTGGACGTGGACGTGGACGTGGTCATGGACGTGGACCTGGACGTGGACGTGGACGTGGTCGTGGACGTGGACTTGGTCGTGGACGTGGACGTGAACGTGGACGTGGACTTTGACGTGGACGTGGTCGTGGACGTGGACGTGGACGTGGTCGTGACGTGGACGTGGACGTGGACGTGGTCGGGACGTGGACGTGGACGTGGACGTGGACGTGGTCGTGGACGTTGACGTGGACGTGGACGTGGACGTGGTCGGACGTGGACGTGGACGTGGACGTGGACGTGGACGTGGTCGGAACGTGGACGTGGACGTGGACCTGGACGTGGACGTGGTCGGGACGTGGACGTGGACGTGGACCTGGACGTAGACGTGGACGTGGACGTGGACGTGGACGTGGTCGTGGACCTGGACGTGGACGTGGACGTGGACCTGGTCGTGGACGTGGACGTGGACGTGGACGTGGTCGTGGACTTGGACGTGGACGTGGAGGTGGTCGTGGACTTGGACGTGGTCGTGGACGTGGACGTGGACGTGGACGTGGACGTGGACGTGGACTTGGACGTGGACTTGGACTTGGACTGGGACGTGGACGTGGACGTGGACGTGGACTTGGACTTGGACTTGGACTTGGACGTGGACGTGGACTTGGACGTGGACGTGGACGTGGATGTGGACGTGGACTTGGACGTGGACGTGGACGTGGACGTGAACGTGGTCGTGGACGTGGACGTGGACTTGGACGTAGTCGTGGACGTGGTCGTGGACGTGGACTTGGACTTGGACGTGGACGTGGTCGTGGACGTGGACGTGGACTTGGACGTGGACTGGAGGTGGTTGTGGACGTGGACGTGGTCGTAGTCTTGGACGTGGAAGTGGAGTTGGACGTGGACGTGGACGTGGACTTGGACGTAAACTGGACGTGGACGTTGACGTGGACTGGACGTGGACGTGGAGTTGGACGTGGACGTGGTCTTGGACGTGGACGTGGAGTTGGACGTGGACGTGGACGTGGACGTGGTCGTGGACGTGGACATGGACGTGGTCGTGGACGTGGACGTGGTCGTGGACGTGGACGTGGACGTGGAGGTGGACTTGGAGGTGGTCGTGGACGTGGACGTGGACGTGGACGTGGACGTGGTCGTGGACGTGGACGTGGAATTGGACCCGGACTTGGACGTGGACGTGGACGTGGACGTGGACCTGGACCTGGACGTGGACGTGGACGTGGACGTGGACCTGGACGTGGTCGTGGACGTGGACGTGGACGTGGACGTGGTCGTGGACGTGGTCCTGGACGTGGACATGGTGACGTGGACGTGGACGTGGACGTGGACGTGGTCGTGGACGTGGACTTGGTCGTGGACGTGGTCGTGGACGTGGACGTGGATCTGGACGTGGACGTGGATCTGGACGTGGACGTGGATCTGGACGTGGTCGTGGACGTGGACGTGGTCGTGGACGTGGACCTGGACGTGGACGTGGTCGTGGACGTGGACGTGGACGTGGACGTGGACGTGGACTTGGAGGTGGTCGTGGACGTGGACGTGGACGTGGTCGTGGACGTGGACGTGGACTTGGACGTGGACGTGGACGTGGACCTGCACGTTGACCTGCACGTGGACGTGGACGTGGACGTGGACGTGGTCGTGGACGTGGTCGTGGAGGTGGACGTGGTGACGTGGACGTGGACGTGGACCTGGACGTGGTCGTGGACGTGGACGTGGACGTGGTCGTGGACGTGGACGTGGACGTGGACGTGGTCGTGGACGTGGTCGTGGACTTGGACGTGGTCGTGGACTTGGACGTGGACGTGGAGGTGGTCGTGGAGGTGGTCGTGGACGTAGACGTGGACGTGGACGTGGACGTGGTCGTGGACGTGGTCGTGGAGGTGGTCGTGGACGTGGACGTGGACTTGGACTTAGACGTGGACGTGGACGTGGACCTGGACGTGGACGTGGTCGCCGTGGACTTGGACGTGGACTGGACGTGGACGTTGACGTGGACTGGACGTGGACTTGGACGTAGACGTGGACGTGACGTGGACGTGGTCGTGGACGTGGTCGTGGACGTGGACTTGGACGTGGACGTGGACTGGACGTGGACGTGATCGAGGACGTGGTCGTGGTCGTGGACGTGGACGTGGACGTGGTCGTGGACGTGGTCGTGGACGTGGTCGTGGACGTGGTCGTGGACGTGGACGTGGTCGTGGACGTGGACGTGGACGTGGTCGTGGACGTGGACCTAGACGTGGACGTGGACCTGGACGTGGACGTGGACGTGGACGTGGTCGTGGACGTGGACGTCGACGTGGTCGTGGACGTGGTCGTGGACGTGGTCGTGGACGTGGTCGTGGACGTGGACGTGGACGTGGACGTGGACGTGGTCGTGGACGTGGAGGTGGACGTGGTCGTGGACGTGGACGTGGACGTGGACGTGGACCTGGAAGTGGACCTGGACGTGGACGTGGACCTGGACGTGGACGTGGACGTGGACGTGGTCGTGGACGTGGACCTGGACGTGGTCGTGGACGTGGTCGTGGACGTGGACCTGGACGTGGACGTGGACGTGGACGTGGACCTGGACGTGGCATGGACGTGGATGTGGACGTGGCCGTGGACTTGGACGTGGACGTGGTCGTGGACGTGGTCGTGGACGTGGTCGTGGACGTGGACCTGGTCGCGGACGTGGATGTGGACGTGGACGTGGACTTTGACGTGGACGTGGTCGTGGACGTGGACGTGGACGTGGTCGTGACGTGGACGTGGACGTGGACCTGGTCGAAGACTTGGACGTGGACGTGGACCTGGACGTGGACGTGGACGTGGACGTGGACGTGGACCTGGACGTGGACGTGGACGTGGACGTGGACCTGGTCGTGGACGTGGACGTGGACGTAGACGTGGACGTGGTCGTGGACTTGGACGTGGAGGTGGTCGTGGACGTGGACGTGGACGTGGACGTGAACGTGGACGTGGACGTGGTCGTGGACGTGGTCGTGGAGGTGGACGTGGTGACGTGGACGTGGACGTGGACTTGGACGTGGTCGTGGACGTCGACGTGGACGTGGACGTGGTCGTGGACGTGGACGTGGACGTGGACGCGGTCGTGGACTTGAACGTGGACGTGGAGGTGGTCGTGGAGGTGGTCGTGGACGTAGACGTGGACGTGGACGTGGACGTGGTCGTGGTCGTGGACGTGGTCATGGAGGTGGTCGTGGACGTGGACGTGGACTTGGACTTAGACGTGGACGTGGACGTGGACCTGGACGTGGACGTGGTCGCCGTGGACTTGGACGTGGACTGGACGTGGACGTTGACGTGGACTGGACGTGGACTTGGACGTGGACGTAGACGTGGACGTGACGTGGACGTGGTCATGGACGTGGTCGTGGACGTGGACTTGGACGTGGACGTGGACTGGACGTGGACGTGATCGTGGACGTGGTCGTGGTCGTGGACGTGGACGTGGACGTGGTCGTGGACGTGGACGTGGACCTGGACGTGGACGTGGACGTGGACCTGGACGTGGACATGGACGTGGACGTGGACGTAGACGTGGACCTGGACGTGGACGTGGACCTGGACGTGTACGTGGACGTGGACGTGGACGTGGACGTGGTCGTGGACGTGGACGTGGACCTGGACGTGGTCGTGGACGTAGTCGTGGACGTGGACGTGGTGACGTGGACGTGGAAGTGGACGTGGACGTGGACCTGGACATGGTCGTGGATGTGGACGTGGTCGTGGACGTGGACGTGGACGTGGACGTGGACGTGGACGTGGACGTGGACTTGGAGGTGGTCGTGGACGTGGACGTGGACGTGGACGTGGTCGTGGACGTGGACGTGGACTTGGACTTGGACTTGCACGTGGACGTGGACGTGGACGTGGACTTGGACGTGGACGTGGACGTGGACGTGGACCTGCACGTTGACCTGGACGTGGACGTGGACGTGGACGTGGTCGTGCACGTGGACGTGGTCGTGGACGTGGACATGTACGTGGACGTGGACCTGGACGTGGACCTGGACGTGGACGTGGACGTGGTCATGGACGTGGACCTGGACGTGGACGTGGACGTCGTCGTGGACGTGGACTTGGTCGTGGACGTGGACATGAACGTGGACGTGGACTTTGACGTGGACGTGGTCGTGGACGTGGACGTGGACGTGGTCGTGACGTGGACGTGGACGTGGACGTGGTCGGGACGTGGACGTGGACGTGGACGTGGACGTGGTCGGGACGTTGACGTGGACGTGGACGTGGACGTGGTCGGGACGTGGACGTGGACGTGGACGTGGACGTGGTCGGGACGTGGACGTGGACGTGGACCTGGACGTAGACGTGGTCGGGACGTGGACGTGGACGTGGACCTGGACGTAGACCTGGACGTGGACGTGGACGTGGACGTGGTCGTGGACCTGGACGTGGACGTGGACGTGGACCTGGTCGTGGACGTGGACGTGGATGTGGACGTGGTCGTGGACTTGGACGTGGACGTGGAGGTGGTCGTGGACTTGGAGGTGGTCGTGGACGTGGACGTGGACGTGGACGTGGACGTGGACGTGGACGTGGTCGTGACGTGGACGTGGACGTGGACCTGGTCGAAGACTTGGACGTGGACGTGGACCTGGACGTGGACGTGGACGTGGACGTGGACCTGGACGTGGACGTGGACGTGGACGTGGACCTGGTCGGGGACGTGGACGTGGACGTAGACGTGGACGTGGTCGTGGACTTGGACGTGGAGGTGGTCGTGGACGTGGACGTGGACGTGGACGTGAACGTGGACGTGGACGTGGTCGTGGACGTGGTCGTGGAGGTGGACGTGGTGACGTGGACGTGGACGTGGACTTGGACGTGGTCGTGGACGTCGACGTGGACGTGGACGTGGTCGTGGACGTGGACGTGGACGTGGACGCGGTCGTGGACTTGAACGTGGACGTGGAGGTGGTCGTGGAGGTGGTCGTGGACGTAGACGTGGACGTGGACGTGGACGTGGTCGTGGACGTGGTCGTGGAGGTGGTCGTGGACGTGGACGTGGACTTGGACTTAGACGTGGACGTGGACGTGGACCTGGACGTGGACGTGGTCGCCGTGGACTTGGACGTGGACTGGACGTGGACGTTGACGTGGACTGGACGTGGACTTGGACGTGGACGTAGACGTGGACGTGACGTGGACGTGGTCATGGACGTGGTCGTGGACGTGGACTTGGACGTGGACGTGGACTGGACGTGGACGTGATCGTGGACGTGGTCGTGGTCGTGGACGTGGACGTGGACGTGGTCGTGGACGTGGACGTGGACCTGGACGTGGACGTGGACGTGGACCTGGACGTGGACGTGGACGTGGACGTAGACGTGGACCTGGACGTGGACGTGGACCTGGACGTGTACGTGGACGTGGACGTGGACGTGGACGTGGTCGTGGACGTGGACGTGGACCTGGACGTGGTCGTGGACGTAGTCGTGGACGTGGACGTGGTGACGTGGACGTGGAAGTGGACGTGGACGTGGACCTGGACATGGTCGTGGATGTGGACGTGGTCGTGGACGTGGACGTGGACGTGGACGTGGACGTGGACGTGGACTTGGAGGTGGTCGTGGACGTGGACGTGGACGTGGACGTGGTCGTGGACGTGGACGTGGACTTGGACTTGGACTTGGACGTGGACGTGGACGTGGACTTGGACGTGGACGTGGACGTGGACGTGGACCTGCACGTTGACCAGGACGTGGACGTGGACGTGGACGTGGACGTGGTCGTGCACGTGGACGTGGTTGTGGACGTGGACATGGACGTGGACGTGGACCTGGACGTGGACCTGGACGTGGACGTGGACGTGGACGTGGACGTGGTCATGGACGTGGACCTGGACGTGGACGTGGACGTCGTCGTGGACGTGGACTTGGTCGTGGACGTGGACATGAACGTGGACGTGGACTTTGACGTGGACGTGGTCGTGGACGTGGACGTGGACGTGGTCGTGACGTGGACGTGGACGTGGACGTGGTCGGGACGTGGACGTGGACGTGGACGTGGACGTGGTCGGGACGTTGACGTGGACGTGGACCTGGACGTGGTCGGGACGTGGACGTGGACGTGGACGTGGACGTGGACGTGGTCGGGACGTGGACGTGGACGTGGACCTGGACGTAGACGTGGTCGGGACGTGGACGTGGACGTGGACCTGGACGTAGACCTGGACGTGGACGTGGACGTGGACGTGGTCGTGGACCTGGACGTGGACGTGGACATGGACCTGGTCGTGGACGTGGACGTGGATGTGGACGTGGTCGTGGACTTGGACGTGGACGTGGAGGTGGTCGTGGACTTGGAGGTGGTCGTGGACGTGGACGTGGACGTGGACGTGGACGTGGACTTGAACGTGGACTTGGACTTGGACGGGGACGTGGACGTGGTCGTGGACGTGGACTTGGACTTGGACTTGGACTTGGACGTGGACGTGGACGTGGACTTGGACGTGGACGTGGACGTGGATGTGGACGTGGACTTGGACGTGGACGTGGACGTGGACGTGAACGTGGTCGTGGACGTGGACGTGGACTTGGACGTGGTCGTGGACGTGGTCGTGGACGTGGACTTGGACTTGGACGTGGACGTGGTCGTGGACGTGGACGTGGACTTGGACGTGGACTGGAGGTGGTTGTGGACGTGGACGTGGTCGTAGTCTTGGACGTGGAAGTGGAGTTGGACGTGGACGTGGACGTGGACTTGGACGTAAACTGGACGTGGACGTTGACGTGGACTGGACGTGGACGTGGAGTTGGACGTGGACGTGGTCTTGGACGTGGACGTGGAGTTGGACGTGGACGTGGACGTGGACGTGGTCGTGGACGTGGACATGGACGTGGTCGTGGACGTGGACGTGGTCGTGGACGTGGACGTGGACGTGGAGGTGGACTTGGAGGTGGTCGTGGACGTGGACGTGGACGTGGACGTGGACGTGGTCGTGGACGTGGATGTGGACTTGGACCCGGACTTGGACGTGGACGTGGACGTGGACGTGGACCTGGACCTGGACGTGGACGTGGACGTGGACGTGGACCTGAACGTGGTCGTGGACGTGGACGTGGACGTGGTCGTGGACGTGGTCCTGGACGTGGACATGGTGACGTGGACGTGGACGTGGACGTGGACGTGGTCGTGGACGTGGACTTGGTCGTGGACGTGGTCGTGGACGTGGACGTGGATCTGGACGTGGACGTGGATCTGGACGTGGACGTGGATCTGGACGTGGTCGTGGACGTGGACGTGGTCGTGGACGTGGACCTGGACGTGGACGTGGTCGTGGACGTGGACGTGGACGTGGACGTGGACGTGGACGTGGACTTGGAGGTGGTCGTGGACGTGGACGTGGACGTGGTCGTGGACGTGGACGTGGACTTGGACGTGGACGTGGACGTGGACCTGCACGTTGACCTGCACGTGGACGTGGACGTGGACGTGGACGTGGTCGTGGACGTGGTCGTGGAGGTGGACGTGGTGACGTGGACGTGGACGTGGACCTGGACGTGGTCGTGGACGTGGACGTGGACGTGGACGTGGTCGTGGACGTGGACGTGGACGTGGACGTGGTCGTGGACGTGGTCGTGGACTTGGACGTGGTCGTGGACTTGGACGTGGACATGGAGGTGGTCGTGGAGGTGGTCGTGGACGTAGACGTGGACGTGGACGTGGACGTGGTCGTGGACGTGGTCGTGGAGGTGGTCGTGGACGTGGACGTGGACTTGGAATTAGACGTGGACGTGGACGTGGACCTGGACGTGGACGTGGTCGCCGTGGACTTGGACGTGGACTGGACGTGGACGTTGACGTGGACTGGACGTGGACTTGGACGTAGACGTGGACGTGACGTGGACGTGGTCGTGGACGTGGTCGTGGACGTGGACTTGGACGTGGACGTGGACTGGACGTGGACGTGATCGAGGACGTGGTCGTGGTCGTGGACGTGGACGTGGACGTGGTCGTGGACGTGGTCGTGGACGTGGTCGTGGACGTGGTCGTGGACGTGGACGTGGTCGTGGACGTGGACGTGGACGTGGTCGTGGACGTGGACCTAGACGTGGACGTGGACCTGGACGTGGACGTGGACGTGGACGTGGACGTGGTCGTGGACGTGGACGTGGACGTGGTCGTGGACGTGGTCGTGGACGTGGTCGTGGACGTGGTCGTGGACGTGGACGTGGACGTGGACGTGGACGTGGACGTGGACGTGGTCGTGGACGTGGAGGTGGACGTGGTCGTGGACGTGGACGTGGACGTGGACGTGGACGTGGACCTGGAAGTGGACCTGGACGTGGACGTGGACCTGGACGTGGACGTGGACGTGGACGTGGTCGTGGACGTGGACCTGGACGTGGTCGTGGACGTGGTCGTGGACGTGGACCTGGTCGTGGACGTGGACGTGGACGTGGACTTTGACGTGGACGTGGTTGTGGACGTGGACGTGGACGTGGACGTGGTCGTGACGTGGACGTTGTCGTGGACGTGGTCATAGACTGGACGTGGACGTGATCGTGGACGTGGACCTGGACGTGAACGTGGACCTGGACGTGGACCTGGACGTGGACGTGGACGTGGACGTGGCCCTGGATGTGAACGTGGACGTGGACGTGGACCTGGTCGTGGACGTGGACGTGGACCTGGTCGTGGACTTGGACGTGGACATGGAGGTGGTCGTGGACTTGGAGGTGGTCGTGGACGTGGACGTGGACGTGGACGTCGACGTGGACGTGGACGTGGTCGTGGACGTGGTCGTGGACGTGGTCGTGGAAGTGGTCGAGGACTTGGACTTAGACGTGGACGTGGACGTGGACCTGGACGTGGACGTGGTCGCCGTGGACTTGGACGTGGACTGGACGTGGACGTAGACGTGCACTGGACGTGGACTTGGACGTGGACGTGGACGTGGACGTGACGTGGACGTGGACGTGGACTTTGACGTGGACGTGGATGTGGACGTGGACGTGGACGTCGACGTGGACGTGGAAGTGGTCGTGGACGTGGTCGTGGACTTGGACATGGACGTGGACGTGGACGTGGACGGGGACGTGGACGTGGTCGTGGACGTGGACTTGGACTTGGACTTGGACTTGGACGTGGACGTGGACGTGGAAATGTACGTGGACGTGGACGTGGACGTGGACTTGGACGTGGACGTGGACGTGGAAATGTACGTGGACGTGGTCGTGGACGTGGACTTGGACTTGGACTTGGACTTGGACGTGGACGTGGACGTGGAAATGTACGTGGACGTGGACGTGGACGTGGACTTGGACGTGGACGTGAACGTGGACGTGGACTTGGACGTGGACGTGGACGTGGACGTGGACGTGGACGTGGACGTGGTCGTGGACGTGGACGTGGACGTGGACGTGGACGTGGTCGTGGACGTGGTCGTGGAAGTTGTCGAGGACTTGGACTTAGACGTGGACGTGGACGTGGACCTGGACGTGGACGTGGTCGCCGTGGACTTGGACGTGGACTGGACGTGGACGTAGACGTGTACTGGACGTGGACTTGGACGTGGACGTGGACGTGGACGTGACGTGGACATGGACGTGGACTTCGACGTGGACGTGGACGTCGACGTGGACGTGGACGTGGACGTCGACGCGGACGTGGACGTGGTCGTGGACGTGGTCGTGGACTTGGACGTGGACGTGGACGTGGACGGGGACGTGGACGTGGTCGTGGACGTGGACTTGGACTTGGACTTGGACTTGGACGTGGACCTGGACGTGGAAATGTACGTGGACGTGGATGTGAACGTGGACTTGGACGTGGACGTGGACGTGGACTTGGACGTGGACGTGGACGTGGACGTGGCATGGACGTGGACGTGGACGTGGACGTGGACGTGGTCGTGGACGTGGTCGTGGAAGTGGTCGTGGACTTGGACTTAGACGTGGACGAGGACGTGGACCTGGATGTGGACGTGGTCGCCGTGGACTTGGACGTGGACTGGACGTGGACGTAGACGTGTACTGGACGTGGACTTAGACGTGGACGTGGACGGGGACGTGGACGTGGTCGTGGACGTGGACTTGGACTTGGACTTGGACTTGGACGTGGACGTGGACGTGGAAATGTACGTGGACGTGGACGTGGACGTGGACTTGGACGTGGACGTGGACGTGGAAATGTACGTGGACGTGGTCGTGGACGTGGACTTGGACTTGGACTTGGACTTGGACGTGGACGTGGACGTGGAAATGTACGTGGACGTGGACGTGGACGTGGACTTGGACGTGGACGTGGACGTGACGTGGACGTGGACGTGGACGTGGACGTGGACTTGGACGTGGACGTGGACTTGGACGTGGACTGGACGTGGACGTGGACGTAGACTTGGACGTGGACTGGACGTGGACGTGGACGTGGACGTGGACGTGGACGTGGACGTTGACTTGGACTTGGACTTGGACGTGGACGTGGTCGTGGACGTGGATATGGACTTGGACGTGGACGTGGACGTGGTCGTGGACGTGGACGTGGACTTGGACGTGGACGTGGACGTGGTCGTGGACGTGGACGTGGACTTGGACGTGGACGTGGACGTGGTCGTGGACGTGGATGTGGTCTTGGACGTGGACTGGACGTGGTCTTGGACTTGGACGTGGACTTGGACGTGGAAGTGGACGTGTACGTGGGAATGTACGTGGACGTGGACGTGGACGTGGTCGTGGACTTGGACGTGGACGTGGACGTGGACTTGGACGTGGACGTGGACGTGGACGTGGACGTGGTCGTAGACGTGGACGTGGACGTGGACCTGGACGAGGACGTGGTCGTGGACGTGGACGTAGACGTGGACGTGGACGTGGACGTAGACATGAACTTGGAGGTGGTCGTGGACGTGGACGTGGACGTGGACGTGGACGGGGACCTGGACCTGGACGTGGTCGTGGACGTGGACCTGGACGTGGACGTGGACATGGTCGTGGAGGTGGACGTGGACGTGGACGTGGTCGTGGTCGTGGACGTGGACTTTGACGTGGACGTGGACGTGGACGTGGACGTGGACGTGGTCTTGGACGTGGTCGTGACGTGGACGTGGTCTGGGACGAGGACGTGGACGTGGACGTGGTTGTGGACTTGGACGTGAACGTGGACGTGGACGTGGACGTGGACCTGGACGTGAACGAGGACGTGGACGTGGACCTGCTCGTGGACGTGGACGTGGACGTGGAGGTGGTCGTGGACTTGGACGTGGACGTGGAGATGGTCTTGGACGTGGACATGGTCGTGGACATGGACGTGGACGTCGACGTGGACGTGGACGTGGACGTGGTCGTGGACGTGGTCGTGGACTTGGACGTGGACTTAAACGTGGACGTGGACGTGGACGTGGATGTGGACTTGGACGGGGACGTGGACGTGGTCGTGGACGTGGATGTTGACTTGGACGTGGACTGGACGTGGACGTGGACGTGTACGTGGTCGTGGACGTGGTCGTGGACCTGGACGTGGTCGTGGACGTGGACGTGGTCGTGGACGTGGACTTGGACTTGGACGTGGACGTGGACGTGTACGTGGACTTGGACTTGGACGTGGACGTGGACGTGGACGTGGAAATGTACGTGGACGTGGACGTGGACGTGGACGTGGACTTGGACGTGGACGTGGACGTAGACTTGGACGTGGACGTGGACGTGGACGTGGACATGGACGTGGTCGTGGACGTGGACGTGGACTTGGACGTGGTCGTGGACGTGGTCGTGGACGTGGACGTGGACGTGGACTTGGACGTGGACGTGGACGTGGTCGTGGACGTGGACGTGGTCGTGGACGTGGACGTGGACGTGGACTTGGACGTGGACGTGGACGTGGATCTGGACGTGGTCGTGGACTTGGACGTGGTCGTGGTCGTGGTCGTGGAAGTGGAGTTGGACGTGGACTGGACGTGGTCGTGGACGTGGACTTGGACGTGGTCGTAGTCGTGGACGTTGACGTGGACTGGACGTGGACGTGGAGTTGGACGTGGACGTGGTCTTGGACGTAAACTGGACGTGGAGTTGGACGTGGACTGGACGTGGACGTGGAGTTGGACTTGGACGTGGTCTTGGACGTGGACGTGGAGTTGGACGTGGACGTGGACGTGGTCGTGGACGTGGACTTGGAGATGGTCGTGGACGTGGACGTGGACGTGGACGTGGTCGTGGTCGTGGACGTGGACGTGGACGTGGACTTGGACCTGGACGTGGACGTGGACGTGGACGTGGACGTGGTCGTGGACGTGGACGTGGACGTGGTCGTGGTCGTGGACGTGGACGTGGTCGTGGACGTGGACGTGGACGTGGACGTGGACGTGGACGTGGTCGTGGACGTGGACGTGGTCGTGGACGTGGACGTGGACGTGGACGTGGTCGTGGACGTGGACGTGGACGTGGTCGTGGACGTGGACGTGGTCGTGGACGTGGTCGTGGACCTGGACGTGGTCGTGGACGTGGACGTGGTCGTGGACGTGGGCGTGGACGTGGACGTGGCCGTGGGCGTGGGCGTGGGCGTGGACGTGGACTTGGACGTGGACGTCGACTTGGACGTGGGCGTGGACGTGGACGTCGACTTGACAGTGGGCGTGGACGTGGACTTGACCGTGGGCGTGGACGTGGACGTGGACGTGGACTTGGACGTGGTCGTGGACGTGGACTTGGAGGTGGTCGTGGACGTGGACTTGGAGGTGGTCGTGGACGTGGACGTGGACGTGGACGTGGACGTGGTCGTGGACGTGGTCGTGGACGTGGACGTGGACGTGGACGTGGACTTGGAGGTGGTCGTGGACGTGGACGTGGACGTGGACGTGGACGTGGACGTGCACGTGGAGGTGGTCGTGGACGTGGACGTGGACGTGGTCGTGGACGTGGACGTGGAGGTGGACGTGGGCGTGGTCGTGGACGTGGACTTGGACGTGGACGTGGACGTGGACTTGGACGTGGACGTGGACGTGGTCGTGGACGTGGACGTGGACTTGGACGTGGACTGGACGTGGTCGTGGACGTGGACGTGGACGTGGACTTGGACGTGGACTGGACGTGGTCGTGGACGTGGACGTGGACGTGGACTTGGACGTGGACTGGACGTGGTCGTAGACGTGGACGTGGTCGTAGTCTTGGACGTAGAAGTGGAGTTGGACGTGGACGTGGACGTGGACGTGGACTTGGACGTAAACTGGACGTGGACGTTGACGTGGACTGGACGTGGACGTGGAGTTGGACGTGGACGTGGTCTTGGACGTGGACGTGGAGTTGGACGTGGTCGTGGACGTGGACGTGGACGTGGACGTGGTCGTGGTCGTGGAGGTGGACGTGGGGACGTAGACGTGGACGTGGACCTGGACGTGGTCGTGGACGTGGACGAGGACGTGGACGTGGACGTGGACGTGGTCGTGGACGTGGACGTGGACGTGGACCTGGACGTGGACGTGGACGTGGTCGTGGACGTGGACGTGGTCGTGGACGTGGTCGTGGACCTGGACGTGGTCGTGGACGTGGACGTGGACGTGGTCGTGGACGTGGACGTGGTCGTGGACGTGGGCGTGGACGTGGTCGTGGGCGTGGGCGTGGACGTGGACGTGGGCGTGGACGTGGACGTGGGCGTGAACGTAGACTTGGATGTGGACGTGGACTTGGACGTGGGCGTGGACGTGGACGTCGACTTGACAGTGGGCGTGGACGTGGACTTGACCGTGGGCGTGGACGTGGACGTGGACGTGGTCGTGGACGTGGTCGTGGACGTGGACGTGGAGGTGGTCGTGGACGTGGACGTGGAGGTGGTCGTGGACGTGGACGTGGACGTGGTCGTGGACGTGGACGTGGACTTGGACGTGGACGCGGACGTGGACGTGGATGGGGACGGGGACGTGGACGCGGACGTGGACGTGGACGTGGACGCGGACGTGGACGTGGACTGGACGTGGACGTGGACGTGGACGTGGACGTGGACGTCGTGGACGTGGACGTGGACGTCGTCGTGGACGTGGTCGTGGACGTGGACGTGGACTTGGACGTGGACGTGGACGTGGACGTGGACTTGGACGTGGACGTGGACGTGGACGTGGACGTGGACTGGACGTGGACGTGGTCGTGGACGTGGAACGTGGACGTGGACGTGGACGTGGACTTGGACTTGGACCGTGGACGTGGACGTGGACGTGGACGTGGACTTGGACTTGGACGTGGACTTGACCGTGGGCGTGGACGTGGACGTGGACGTGGACTTGGACGTGGTCGTGGACGTGGACGTGGACGTGGTCGTGGACCTGGACGTGGACGTGGACGGGGACGTGGACGTGGACGGGGACGTGGACTTGGACGTGGTCGTGGACGTGGACGTGGACGTGGACGGGGACGTGGTCGCGGACGTGGACTTGGACGTGGACGTGGACGTGGACGTGGACGTGGACGGGGACGTGGACGCGGACGTGGACGTGGGCGTGGTCGCGGACGTGGACTTGGACGTGGACGGGGACGTGAACGTGGACGTGGTCGTGACGTGGACG